TTACAGCCGCCATTGCTGACCTTTTCTTGTCTTACCGAGATGCCGAGTAACTGAAACGGTAGTTGACGATCCTCTACAAAGGCCGATGCTTTAGAAAAGGACACAGTTGAATCTAATATCGCAATAACGTGGCCTGCTATGGTAATGATGAAGTGAAATAAACGGAATAAGAGGAAACAAAAACTGAAGGTCAGTTATGGCGGCGTCCATGCACAGCTCCTGCAAAGCGTCTATAGTAGCGGTGGCAGCACGGTTGGCAGTTGCCCTTAATGCACGAGAGCCTGTGCCGCCGAGATCTGCCCCAGAGCAAAGAGCTCGCGCCTGTAGTACATCATAAGGTGAAATAGAATATAGTCACTGCTCACAAAAAATTCACTGAACCCTTTGCCATAAACAGCTCCGCCGTAAAAGAAGGGCTCCTGGCCGGTTGGATCTTGAATGTTCGTGCGTATGGCGCGTGGTTTGCTCGCTTTTGAAGCGATGAACATGCGCGTGCTGGGGCGAGGAGATCACTGGCTGGGCTGAGGAACTGTAAATATCGAAATGGTGTATAGTCACTGACAAAATGAGAACGCCAAAAAGGAGCTTCAGTTCTGTCGCCCCCAGTTCGATCTTCCTACTTTTGACAGCGCATCGGCGTCTCGTGAACCGCACACCGCGCGCGTGCGCAGCGAAAGCACGACGAAAGGCATGGACCGAGTGCTTCATCCCTTCCGAAGCAGCCAAAGCACGGCAGAAGGCCGGGTGTTCGAAACACACGCCCTGCTCTTCTCACTCTTTCGCGAACAGCGGATTGAATTAAAATACTGTGTACCGAGGCTGCAGGTCAAATGCAATATTCATCGTTTTTTGTTTTTTTTAATATTAGATAATGGAACGGTTTAGATGCCCAAAGCGCAGTCACTGAATATTTCCTTATCCCATAGCGTCTACGTGACTTGGTGAATCCAGGAAAGAGTCTAATCCGCAAACATATTGGTCTACTCTAAATGCATCAACTTGTGTTTGTGGCTAATTTAAGTAATAATGATAGCAGACGCTAGACGCTTTTCTCAAATGAGCGACCTAGGTACAATGAACCTTTTTGTCATATGCAAGCGGCACGTGGCAGAGGGCTCAAAAACTGGATTTGCACGGCAATCACGTGACCAGCTCCATGGGGACAAGCGAGTTCAAGGTACCTAAAAGGACTGTCGTCCGTGCAACTGGATGTATGGATGGTTGACATTCTGAGGCGCAAGAAAAATATTATTTTTATTATTATTATTATTACACAATTATAGTTATTGAATAACTATCATTATTTAACAGTCGGGTCTGTCGAAACCAGTGTTGGCTCGTGTGACACGACCGAGAAATGATGATAGCCAATACCGCTCATAGTGGCTATCATCATTGCTGGGTCGTGTCGAGCAAGCCAACACCGGCTTGGACAGACCCACCTCATATATAATGATGAATAAAAAAAAAAACGCTGCACTAAAAGTAATATTACTATTACCATCATTATTATTACAAAGCCCTAGATAATGTTCGAACTTGACAGGACCACGGCATCGTCTTGGTGAATGGATAACAAACCTCAGACGCTCCCTTCGGTGCTGTTAATAAATAACACGGGCTCGAGCAGGCGTACAATACGCCGCTGCCCTCCTGAATCAAAAATGAATATCACTATTACTATTACGGTTAGCAATTGTTTTTTTTTTTTTTTTTTTTTTTTTTTTTTTTTAATGTACGTACTTGCAAAAACAAAGCATTTAGTAAGGCAAAGCGCCTTCCTAAGTGACTTCGACTAACGTTGCTTATAAAAAGCGACACACCATGATTTAATTCAAAAATTTTAGAGTAACCTACATATATTCCCTGCGTTTTATTCGAACTTATTTACTCTATTCAGCTTATTCGTAGTGTCTTACATATTGTAGGTGATCAGACAGCAAAACGACTGGCCGAAACGGACGACTTTTCCGGATGAGTTATATGGACACGGTCAGCATGAGAATCGCAGGGTGCGGAGAGATCATCGCATTTGACACTCGCAGAAATAGGGAGTTAAGTACTTACAGCCCTTTGTCCCATATATAGCACCCCTAGAACTACAATTCGGCGTTCAGCCCACTCACGTCGAACCGACCATACCAGCTTTCACGAGCGTCTTGATAGTCGAGTGATACAATTTATTAAAATAACCAATTTACGCAGTAAAGACTACAGGAAAACACTCAAAAATGTGTTGGCCCTGCTGCAAAACCTGTGGTATTCTTTTTGTAGCCTTTGATACGTGCATTAGCTATTCAGTAAGTTATATCAAGCAGCTATTAAGCCGTTGGAAAAGTCAGTATCATCAGTTCGACGTCAGTGGACCGAACGTCGAAATCTAGTTTTTGGGGTGTTATATACGGGAAAAGGGGCGTAAGTAGTACACCCCCTATTTCTGAGAGTGTTATCACTCCCCAGTGAGAGTGTTATCACTCCCCAGTATTGCGGCGCTAGACGACAAGGACGCCGAAGAAAAATTCTAGAAAATGTCTCAACATAAAAGCCGCCCTATGTTTCTCTTAAGCTGTCGGTGACCACAAAAACAATATTTGCCGTTGTGAGCAGCACTGAAAACGCGATGCGTCTTTACCTATTTTTCACAATCGAGCGCATTACTTTAGCGCTTAGTAAGGATGCAAAGCTTTACGTACCGTACCTGGATTCTTGCTGCCCCTGTGAGCGGTTTTCTGCGTTTCCGCTTTAGCTCGAACGCCTCCGAGCCCGTGCGTTCGGTCTGAACGAGGAGGACAAGGCTGCACCGACGGAGTTTGATGTCACGCGCTCAGTCTTCGCATTTTCTCGGGATGTTTGTCAACCTCACGTAGTCGAAGCTCCGCCTATCGGGTCCCACGTCTCAATACCGATTCCCGATCGCAGCACACAGCAATGACGCGAACATCGACTCAAAACGCTAGTACGAAAGAACTGTCCAGAACACTCCGGCGGTCCGTGCAGAAATGGGACGTCTTACCTCAGCCTTATCAGCAGCGCGGCGCCGTACGCGACCAGTGACCCGTTAATATAAAGCCTCCTTTTTATGCTGAGTCACCGCGTTTCATTTCCAGACTTCGTGGTGGGGTTGCGCGAATAGTGGCTAGAATCGAACAGAGTAGAGTCATCCCTAGCTTCTGTACTGTTAAAAGAGCCGACGGTCTTGGCTTCCCTTGCACTGTCAAGGCTATGAATGACGCAGCGCTATTCGATTCGCACCTCGATTCGTACAACCCTACTTCGTGGACATAAGCTGAATGTCGGCTGATATTTCCGGCGGACCGAAACCGTTCGCTTCGATTCTATAGGGATTTTGTGAAGACCGATTCAAATCGAATAATGCGGCGTCATTCACAGTCGTCGGCGTGCGACGGAAAGGCCACGACAGGAGGGGAAGACGGATATTAACCTCTGTACCCTTTGTAACGGGCGGTAGCTTGCGCCACCTATTAAAAAATGTTTTTTTACAATTTCATTGAGCCAATCGAGTGGCGCCAAAAACTGCATCGTCACGGCGCGTTTTTTTTTTTTTTGGGGGGGGGGGTAATTAGTCAGCGTTACTAAAACCACTCAGTTGGGGATCTACCATAGAGCCTGCTTTCAAGAAGTGGCTCCGATCTGTACTTGAGACGAGAACCGGCGTATTCAGCATGGTATGGCCGATGGCATCTGTACTTGAGAACCGAGCAAATGGCGATCGCAACGCCGCCATTTCTCCCGCAGCGGCCACTCGGGGAACTGTACGGCTGCTTGTAATGGTTCACGAGAACCGAATTCGATAGCGTCCGCTGTAACTGTTCTTTTCTGGCTTCAATTGGCCATTTTGGCGGATGCCAACCCCCGTCTCCCAAGCGGACGCCCCACGAATTACTTCAGATATTGGGACGCGCCTAGGTCGGGACGCGCTACCTTAAACCACCGGTGAGACATGGGTGTATAAAAACAATAATAATTGTGCCGCAAAACCTTGTACACTAAAGAGTTTAGAAAACATCATGCGCCTGTTATTTTCTACTAATCTCCAATAACGTTCCTACAAAAAGAGTTTTTTTTTCGCTTGCTTTGACGCAAAAACATGCTTTCGGAAAGCTAGAGGTGACCACGGTAAAGAAAAAAGATTAAGCCGCCATCTTGGCACCTCGAGCCTGCGAGTTTCGATACTCTGGGAACATTCAGTGACTCCAGCAGTAGCCATATAAGGCAAATTTCATGTTTCAACGAGTCGCTAAAGGGTGGCGCTGTTATCGTATTTAGCTCGGTCTCGGTGGACGCCAGCGGCCCAGGTTTCCACGGTGAGTTTCCCAGCTGAGTGTTCTAGTATCGTTGAATCAGGCACAGAAGAAAACGCAAGATGGGGCCAATTCAGTGTACGCGATTGCTTTAGTCGGGGATGCCAACGCACATGCGCGATGACCGCCGTGACCTTGAACTTTTGGCGCTGTTTGATTGGCTCCATCCGATCACGGCGCCGGCTACGAACGGACTTGAAGTGAAACTGGGTAGGCGGAGCGCAAGTTCGTCTGCTTCTTTTTGCTGGGGTTGTGGTGACGTCAGAATACCGAGCTCCGATTGGCTCTGATTGAAGGATAGACGGGTAGACCTCAAGGCACCTTGCTTTTAGGTCTACCCACTACCCTTCAATCGGAGCCAATCGGAGCTCGGTGTGTTTCTGACGTCACCACAACCCCCGCAAAAAGAAGCAGACGAACTTGTGCTCAGCATAGCCTGCGGCTTCACGTGGTAGTGAGACACGAGCGAACACTCGGTCGTGTATATGTACTTTCAACTTCTTTCGACGACGAGTGTTACAAACTGAAAGAAGTGCTCAACTATCAGCTCAGAGAATGGCCTGACCTGAACAAAGATGCACGAAATCAATGTACACATTCGCATAAAGTTGGAAGTTTTGCACACATGTGTGGGGTGGTGGCTGTCAAATACTAAAGAACGAAATTAAAGAAAAAATATGTTCGGGAATGATGATCGCTTTAATGACTTACCAAACATGAAGACGGAATGAATCAATAAAACGACGACACAACAAAATGCACTGGTACCTTCGTTGGCGGACTTCATAGAGCGAGTACGTTGCAGACAACCGACCAACTTTGCCCGGCGACACGTTCCCGTTGCGCTCGGCGCAACATCCAATGGCGAGTTTTAATGTAGCGTACCCAAGAGGCTTTGCGTACGCAAAGAAATAGCGTCGTCGCTAGGCGCTCGTCCAAAATGCGGTTTGGGGTCGGCGCATGCGCCGTGGGGACGACGCTATTCCTTTGCGTGCGTAAAGCATTTGGGTACGCTATGCGAAAACTCGCCGGTATTCTGACGAAGCTCGCAGAGACGATTGCCGCCGGGCGAACGTCGTCGCTTTTTGTTTTGCAGCACATTCATACTCCGTGGAGTCCGTCATCGATAAAAAAATTCGTTGCACTATTTACAGCGCCTACATCTGGCGCGTCAGTAATCTCAGATTTCGAGGAGTCGTGGCACGCGAACGAAGTCGAGGTTTCAACCGGGTAGTAATACAGACAGGACTGAGATGAAGCGAAATAAAATGCCCGAAAGCGCAAATAAATAACAGCACATGGAAAATAATAAAAAGCACGAGACAATCTTGTTCTTGTTTTGTTTTTACCTTCACACGTTCTATGTTTAGCCAGTTCCCTACTTGTCTCTGCGCTTCTTGACTTTTGAAGCTCAGATTAAGTCCGAAGTATCGGTGTTTGCAAAAAAAAAAAAAAAAAAAGAGAGAGAATCGCCTTGGTCTCACCGCGAAAATTAACTGCGTGTCGCCGAACGCGCAGTTTCCGACCAAATGTAGCACTGTCGATTGGAACAAGGCGTCAAAGGTTTTGGAACTTACCGTTATCTGATTCGAAGGTTATAAGCGGTCTTCGGAGATTTAAAATGAGGAAATGAGGCGCGTTCGCGGTATCAGACGCCATTCATCCCCACGTATTCGCGGGGTTTTTTGGCCGCCATTTCCTTATTGAAAATATTCCGAAATTGCCTGATAACGTTTGAGTCACGACAGTAAGTTCTGAAAACGTTTGCATCTGGTTTGAGCAGCTAAAGCTACATCTGGACGGAAACGGAGCACTCGGCGGTAAAAGGCTTTTTTTTTTCTTTTTTTTTTTTTGAGAGTTGTGTAAAACACGGCTCTTTTCTCCCAGACATCCGGTATAAAGGCGTGAGTACAGATCTTAAAAAAAAGATTTAGGTACTGAAATAAAATTACAGGAGTAGGTGTCTATAAGAATGTATGTACAATATAGACTTAGAACACACACAGTGACCTATATGGTGCGCATTGTACCAACGAAAGACAAAGTGCTTCGAGCGTCAAAATTGGCTACGTCTATTACAAATATAATCCTCTAATGACGACTCTTATGCGCGCATGTCGCATCCATTTAATGGGGGTTTACTACGAATCTGCAGAAAGCAGAAAAAGTTAAGCTAGTGAATATGTACACAATATAGCAAAACTCGCCTCAAACCTATTCTTAAAGTAATGTTGGTAATTGAGCCACACTGCGCATATAAAAAAAAAAGATATGCAAATTCACAGTATTCTTACACAACGCCAATGTACATGCAGAAACATAATGGGTGTTGGCACTCTCGTAAAACGCACGTAAGAAAATATCGAAGTAATGCACACGGGAAAACTATACAACCCGGAACTTCACATATATACATAAGCATAGCAATACGGATTCGTCGGCTATCGCGTCCAGTTGCGGTGTTTCTTACCCCGAAAGAGAGTTTCTCGTCGCTTCGTTTTTCATCTTTTCTCGTGTTGGATTTTACCCAATGTAAAAGTGCGAAACATATACTCATCAGCACTCGAGGTACACGAAAGTGACTACAATGTCGGTGTAACAGCCCTTGAAGGTCTCTAGAATGGACAGTACCAATCAGAGGGACAGTTGGCAGGGGCTTCAACGCCATTCAGAGTACATACTCGGATTCTGTTCACCTATATGGAGAAACACGTACCTCACTTGGATCGCACCATACACTCACTTTATAAAGTAACTCAAATGTCACTTAAGGTTACCCCAGGCACTCCAAAGGCACACGAGTGTTACTCGATGCACATTGCAGAATTCCAAGCTATATGGCTACTGCGTTCCGCAGTAGATAACTCAAGTCAAGACTTTTCAAATGTCAACACTTTCACTTCAAGCGTCATCTGAAGGTAACAAGTCATGGCATGTTTCAAGCCATATAGCTACCATGTGTTGTGGTGCAAAGCGCATCACCCTCGGAAGACTCACTTCACTCTTCAAATTCATCTGAAGAATACTTAAAAAGTTCATAGGTACTTGAAGGGCACTCAAATTGCATATAAGGTGCTGCCGAGCGGCAGCCAAAGGGTGTTCACTTGTCTAGAGCAACTCAAAGTCCGTGCGTCCAAACACTCGGTTCTCTCTATACATTTGATGTTCTCAGGGGTGAGATGACCTTTCCCTCGGGCTTGAGTGCACTCAGAGAACACCGTCGTTTTATACGAGGCCTCGCAGGCTTGTCGTCTTCGGGTTCCGAAGACTTGGACAAGTTCGTCGGGGACAACACGATGCGGTCATCTCCATCTGCGTCCCTATCCACGCTGATCCGACAGACCTGAATCTATAACGAAAATGACAAAAGATAAAGTAATGTGACCGTGTGAAAGACGAAAAAGACTCATGTTTCAACACAAAATATCGAAATTCTGTGCAATGACTTCCTTTAAACAGATACCAGCATAGGAGAAAGCCTCGGGCACTAGCTCAGGCCTACTACACTTAGCTTATGGAGACGACTTGACGTGTCGGAAGAAAAACATTAGATTATTAGCGTGGCGACGACGTGATGACGAACGTCAGATGCATTGCGAGTACGTGTGCAAAGCAAATGTTTCCATTGCGTTTTGTTTTATTCGAAACATGTCTATGCCTGCGCAATCCGAAGGGGCGGTGCAACGACTTTCGTACTTTGAGTAAATGCCACATAGAATCAATACCTGACGTTCATAACCTATGCAACACGCGTTAGTGATTCTCTACACGCTATGGCAGTGCAGAAAAACTTCAGAGAAAAACGAGCAGCGTTCACCTTCTCAACTCGACGCCAAAGTAGGCGGTGACTTGATCTGGTTCCGATTATATGACGCCATTGTTCATCATATCCATGCGGCTGGGATCGGCAAAGCTCAGTGCACGTTCTGATTATCAGACATTGTTAAGGTTCGGCTATTTGCGTCATTGCAGCTATTGTGCACGACCCACTAATCGAATGCTCCTCGAGACGTTGATCGGTGAGCCCAAATCGAGTTCTCACGCTCTGGTCGCATCCAGTCTAGAAGCTACATTTAACAACCTTCACCTTGGGGTAATCGCCACGAAGTTGTAACACTACAACTCACGATAGATACCGTCATCGAGTTTTGCAAAAAAAAAACAAAAAAAAAAAACAAAGGAAATACGAAAAGGTGAAAAGTATGTTTCGTTTTTTTTTAATCCTTCAAATTACACCGCGACACAGAAGCTTGTCGTCCAGTGGCGCTACGTGCAAGTAAGCTTGGGTCGCACTAGCCGCTGTAAGCTTGTGTGAAGTGAGAATCATTCCAATGCAATATCGTTATAGGGTCCCTTTAAGGATATGCTCCGTTTCATTTTGAGTCCGACCGCAACAGACGCTAGGGTCAAATTGATCCAATCCAGCTAAGCCAAAAGTGCGTCGTGACGGTGCTAATTTTTTTGTGGGTTTGATAACCCCGGCTACACCAATTACGCATAAAGAAAGCGCATGATCAAGGTCATGACTTAAGCTAGGTGGCGCAAGCTACCGCCCGTTCCAAAGGGTATAGCCATTAATATCCATCCATCTATCCAAGGTGAACTCGCTGTGCGGGATTGGTTTAATCGGCGATAAAGAACGCACAAAAACAGATGAGCACCGCGACGAATCACTTTTGACAATGCTTGACTGGTATACCATCGAGCCGTAACCTCGGCTGCGGTTGAACTTGGAGTGAAACCGAGTCTAGCACACTCAGCTCAGATGGGACGCTGTATAATGAAACAACAAAACAAAAACACGGCCCAGTAGATCTCTCGCAAAGTTGAAGCGATCCTAGCGGCTTTAGTCCCACGCAGAGCCTCTGGGGACCCTTTGGTCGCTATGTTTCGGTTTCGATTTGTCAACCTCACTTCGCGACATCCCGTCACGACTCAATAGAGCGCTTGCATTTACCAGCATGCTACTTTCCTTAAATGTATGATACTATTGGTGTTGCCTACGAATATGGATAGAATGCCGGGGCACGTTTTCTTGAGCTCCCGACGTGTCAGAGTTTGTGCGGGGTAAACACGGGACTACGCTAGAACATGGAAGAAGTTATACCGGGCCGATCATCCTGTTCTGTCGTCGCATCAATTCCATAGAATTCTTAAATGCTCCGGGAGCCGGTAACCTGTCCACCAAACAGGTACGGGACGCGGCCGGCCGTATTCCTATACTCCTCGCTAAGTCTAAGCAGGTCCTTACGGTCGCTGGAGGTTCGTGTTTCAGCGGAGGCTTTCACGAAGATGAATCGGTGCAATGCAAGCGAGCGCTGACTTTATTTTCATGTTGAAAAAATTGTAAGGGTGCAGGCGAGCTGGTGGAAGTTAACCATAGTGTTGTTTAACCCGAGACTGGGGTATTTCGGAAAAGGGACGAGAAGAGTGCATATCAAGAAGAGTGCATTTCGGAAAAGGGACAAGTAGTGCATATCAACATTGCATTTTCATGCAATGTTGATATGCACTACTTGATCAACGGGGCAATCAGAACCAAAACCATGCCACTCCTCCCTATGGCCAAAGAGGTCCCACAATGCAACGCACGCAGTGTTGCCTACAGGACTTTCGGAAGTAGTCTGTTGTTACGGCGCAGCAATGATAAAAGAGCCAGGGAACAGGACAACAAAAATGAGAAACAGAGAACTACTAGCATCTGAACTTTGATGTGAAAATAAAAGAAAGCGCTATTAACAAGTGAACTTTATTGTGAAAAGACAAACAGGGCGCTACTGCACATGTAGCGCTTTGTTTGTCTTCTTCTATGTCTTGTCCTCTGTCGCCTTTATTATTGCTTAAAAGGGACGCACGTGCGAAACGCAGCAAAACCCCCTCTATCACCTGCATCGGTCTCACGCGCACTCAAGATCCCAAATGGGTCAAGAAGGTATATTTCCCAAATCCCCGAGTATGGCACAACGCACGCCCCATCGGGGAACGTGTACTGCAACACCCACGTCAGAGTCGTCTCTCCCGTTGTGCAGATTCTCCGAATGATCGGACGTGGAGCTCTCCGACACCCGGGTAGAGGAACTGGTGGGCGTCTGGGGCAGTTCTTCCATGGAGCTGCCCATCTGGAGCTTCTTTCTCATCTGAGACATCTGGGGCGTGTAGAAGAAGATCTCGTCGCATCGTGGTGGGGGCATCAGTCGTGTCACGTTACTGTCTGTCAGGCTGTACGACTTGTCCTGAAAGAGACGTCGGAGACGCCTGTTAGCCTAATGTGAAGTGGCCGACATACACCGACTGAACTCTCTGACTCCACGTTAATGCTGCGGCGATGATGTCAGCACTGTGCATGCGACGAAGCCTTTCCTCCCCCGGGTTCGGTTTCGGCAAACGCGCAGCGCCCACACCTGGTATGCACAGACACGGACTTGTTTCCAAATAGTGGGTTGATGCGCACTTTGGTTTCTGAGTTCTCAGTCGGTAGTACTCCGCCAAAAACCTTTTGGGTAGGTTCTGAATTGCAGCTCACGTGTCGCTATGAGGTGGTCCTTCGAGTACCAACGTATACATGCTCCAGTTCGAGTGATGAGTGCCGAGGCCAGAGTTAAATAATTGATAAAAGGATAATTGTGTGTGGTCGATGTAAGACGTCGGAGAATTTCGAGTGATTCTACGTTGTGGTAGAAAATGCAAATTAAAGACTTAGGCCTGATGCTGATAAAGATATGTACTTACTACGAGGAAATGTACGGTATAATCAACGGGCGCTTCTCAATGTCGATCTGTTCCTCTCCCATTATTCTGAAGTAGAGCTTCCAAAACATCTATACTCCGTTCGGCTCTAATCTGACAGAGCCGTGGAAACTACTTGACTTTGATTCACCAGTCAATCACCTGCTTTTCACCGTCTTAGCTTGCGCTCCGCGCAAGTGAATGTGCAGGTAGCATGATCACCTGCGTAGTGCGAGACCAGCGATTGACTGGTTCAACGAGCACATAGCGTCCGCCATCCAGTCAGCTTAGCGGAAAAAGGAGTAGAGATTTACAAATTTCTTAATAACAAACGTAGCCGGTGTCGTTCCAAATAAGAACTACGACAGCAGCTAGTACTAGTAGCCATTCCACAATGATAATACTACTAGTAGCCATTCCACAATGATATTGAAAGAAGCGCCTAAGAAGGTTCTAAGTTGCATCCAGATTTATACAGGCAGCATTCATCATGCATACGATTCCAGAGAAACTGCGATGATGCACCAACGAGCCTGTGAACAATATGCAACTTTTCAGGCCACACTATAGCTACAAAATGCCTAGGGGTTTAAAACTAGAAAGCCTAGTGGTACCCTGGAAAATCTAATTACTGACCTGGAATCTCATATAGGAGGAAAAAGGTGAAGTCTATAAAATAACAAAACCAAGTTCACAGTAAAAAGAAATGCAAGAGTACTTTAACCATAGCCGACAAAATCATCATACATAGAACACATTCTTGGATCGGTAAATCTTGGGCAAGTGTTTATGTAGCAAGAGTTATACAGCCACTTCTGTCGCCCATGCGCGTACTGCGTATGCACGGCGATGATGGCACTGACACTGCAATGTTCTCTCGGTTGTAACGCTCTTTAGTGTCACGTTTACGTCTCGCATTCTCGACTCTTTTGCATTTGCAAAAGAGTCACTTTTGCAAATGCAAAAGTGCTTTTGCAAATGTACTTTCTAGCGTTTTCAGTGTTTAAAATAATCAACCGTTTTCGCAGCGATGGCTACCCCAACAGGCATTATAAAAGAAGACCGGTGACGCGAACTTGATTTGCATTTATTTTTAAGTTACGGGAGTTGTTCCGTGTACGAAATCTAGAGACCGCTGCTCTAATACTTTTGGGAAGCACGAGTCTTGAAAGGACGAATGCAGCCGATATGTTATAAATAAATTAGGCATGTCTTGAATTGAATTTAAGCATCTGATAAACTCATAGAGGCTAACCATTTGTGGCGAATAAGCTGGGTGCATCCCGTTGGTGTGTTACGTCCTGCGACATCATGTCACGTGACGTCACATGACACCCGAAATTGCCGTCAAGTCACGCGAAATCATGAGGTAAAGTAATTTCAGTGCCAGTCAAGCGTGTCACTTTTCGAATGAAACCCATGTCTATAACACATTCTGTGGTAAAAATGAAACATGACCAATACTTCTTTCGTGCCTACGCCTGACATAACGTTCTGGACAATTTTCTCGACCCCGGCTGTTTCACAAAAACCCAATTCGTCAAATCTTCGAATTGTCTCTAGTTTTTCCCCGCTCGTAGACACCCTAAGCATACCCAACCAGAAATATTTCTTACCACATCTGGGAATGAAAAGACGAGCTTGTTTCCCTGCGTTCTGTTGGATTTCGGACTCTTCTCCGGACAAACTACGAAGCCGTACGGAATGTACAACTGGCCGTGGTGACTGGCGTCGTTCTTGCGGATCACCAATATCCGAGGTGCCGGCGAAAGGTCCTTGCCCTGCTTCGTGTGCTTGTCCACCTTCATCACTTTTGTGCACAATGGCACGGGTTTCACCAGCCTCTTAAACTCCTGTAGGTTCGACGCACAAAAGAAAACAATATGTGAAATATTTTTTTTTTTTTATATTCTAAGCCAGTGATTCTCAAGTGGGGGTTCGCGGACCCTTGGGGTTCGCGGACCCTTGGAGTTCGCGGACCCTTGGGGTCCGCGAAGGCATTCTAGGGCTCCGCGAAGCCATGCCTCATCAGTCAAGCCCGGCAACAAAAGTTGTCTTTTTACAGATTGAGAAGAAATGTTTCCGTTTTCGCGCGAGTTTTCTTTTGTGTACATCAACAAGAGAGGTCTACTTCGCGCTATCCCTTAGTTATATCCATTTATAATAAATCAATATTATATTTAACCTATACTTTTCCTCTCCTCTCACCCCGAACGGGGTCCTCCATCATCTCCGCTGATCCACAAGGGGTCCGGGAAACATCGATGGTTGAGAACCACTGCCCTAAGCAATGAATAAGCCAAATGCATCGACACAATTGTTAATTTTATTTGTTAACTCAACTGCCTATGAGTGAAGAAAAAGTAAATAAAGTACTTACTATGGTCGCTGCCGGCTTAAGGAACGCAGGGCGTGAGAAGTCCCAAGCATCTTATTATCGCCCTTCGGCCAATGAGTATGCGGCATTATCCAATAAGGGCACCAAAGAACCAATCACGAAACAGGATGCATGAACATTGTAAGTCAAACCCTGCGTTTCTTCAGCTGTCGGGGACTATGCGAAGCGCAAGTTCGTCTGCTTCTTGCACAGGTGTTGCGATGATAACAGAACGCCGAGCTCTTATTGGCTAACTGAAAAAAAAAAAAAACAGTGGGTGGGCCCTCAAGGCATCTGGCATTGAGGACGACCCACTACATCTTTTTAATGAAAGCCAATCAGAGCTCGGAGTCGTTCTGACGTCACCACAACCCCTGCGCAAGAAGCAGACGACTTGCTCTCCGAATAGTGTTTCAAGGCCCTTACAAAAACTGCCATGAAATATATTAGTAGCATATGGTACAACTTTTGTATCGCATATAAATTTTAAGGAGGAAAATGAACTTACATCCCAACGACCTCCCTTGGTGTAGCACCACGTGTAGATGGTCTTGTATACAATGTAACCCGGAACGGGGCAGATGACGAGAAAGAACAGGGTCCAGCCAAGAATGGGGCCCCAGAAGGAGTTCTTGAACAGTCCCGATGCGATTTCCGGACTGCCGAAAATTGTGAACACAAGAACCACCTGGAACATCAGAAGTACATTGTCGTGAAATGTAGGGCGAAGGTTTTCAATAATATTGTTCACACAACAAAGGTTTTCTTCTTCTTATGAAAAAGCACGGGCCGTTTGAATGTTTTGACTTGCTCTTGACAAGTTGTAGTCTAGAAGACAGGTAGATTAATAATTCGAGTTTCAGGCATACCTTTCTATGCAATAAGAAGTGCAGAGACTGGTAGATCCCCAGAGGTTCGAAAAAGTGAACAAAACAGTTGTCACGGTGATGAGAAATTTTGATTAGTGTAAAACAAAATGTATTGAAATAACTTACATCAAGACGTTAAAAACGTCCAGAGAAATTTGAAGAACGTTTAGAGCAATAATAGTATAGTGAGGGGTGTGATACATTATCGCTAATGATAAATAGTAAAAGTGGTATAGTGATGACCTGTCATAAGTATTATATAAAAATATTTATGCAATAGTTACATAGCTTATGTCAGGAGCTGAAGTAGCAGTTCTTTTAATGCAAACCTTAAATTCACCCCAGAGCTTTGGATATGTGTTAGGGAAATATTGATGAGCTGTACTAACCAAGATGGACCCCGGTGTCACAAACGACCAGATAAACATCCATCCCTTGCCAAGGCGCTGTTGGAGAATGGTGTCGGTATCTCCGGAGAACTGCTTGAATCCTAAGGGCAAGTGAACAGATCCCTAACGTCATCGGCTTTTCTTGCACAACTAAATATTAAAACAACACAAGGCTAAATCCTTAATAATAAAAATCCTAATTTGTAAATTTTTGAGTTTTTTTTAATATCGGGTTGAATAGTTCTTTTGACTTAGAAGCCTGTAAAGATATATTGATTAATTGATTTTAGTTATTCTGGAACACTCAGACGGTATCATACAGTAAAGTGACAAAGGTGTATAGAGGGTGCAAACAAGTGAAAAGAAACATACACAAAAATTAAGAAATATTAATAAACATGCTTATCAAGGAAAAATGGATAAAAACAAAAAAGAATTAATAATTTTTGTTCAACAAACTTTGAAAGAAATGTTATGCAAAAACATTGAAATATTAGCAGTGTACTGCCGATTCCATTCTTTAATTGTACGTAGAAAACGAGTATCTGAAAGCAGAGGTTATACAGTTGAATCTTCTGACTTTAAAAGCATAATTTGACCTCTTTTGAATTGAAACATTTGTCTTAATAAATTAACTACATATGCTATGAATTAGCACCAAAATATGGTAAAATATAGATCTTTTTCAGTTTGGGATTGGCCAATTAAATGAATAAGGTAGAAAACATTCCTAGCTTTTTAAAGAAGACCGAGCTATCAGGCTTCTCAGACACCGTGACTAAAAGGGTCATCTAAAATCCCCATCAACGCTTTAGGTCTATCGTTTAAAATCACAAGACAACTTTGCACTTTAGTATCATTTTCGTCAGTGTTTAGATATTAGGCGCGTCTGCTTGAGCTGAATTTAATTAAACTTATTTTTATGAAAAAAAAGTGAAAGCCGTTTACAATTCCCTGTAACGCCGAATTGGAGCGCAGCTCTTGAGGAGGAGGAGGGAAGGGTGCTGAGGGCCGCGTGTACTGGGGAGGGGTCACGTGACCCCCTTCCGAGGGCACGTGACCTTGGTGGGGTCACGTGGGGGGAGTCACGTGCCCCCTCCGAGGTCACGTGACCTCAGGAGGGGGTCACATGACTCTCGTTTCCGGCTTGAGCGGCGTCGCCGTCGCCGTCGGCGTAACCGCGCGGTGCATTATGGGTAAATTTCCCCGCTAAATCTAGCGGAAAAAATTTCCCCGCTAGATTTAGCGGGGAATTTTTTCGGCTAGATTTAGCGGGGAAATTTTTTCCGCTAGATTTAGCGGGGAAATTTTTCCGCTAGATTTAGCATGGAAAATTTTCCGCTAGATTTAGCGGGGAAATTTTTCCCGCTAGATTTAGCGGGGAAATTTACCCATAATGCACCGCGCGGTTACGCCGACGGCGACGCCGACGGCGACGGCGACGCCGCTCAAGCCGGAAACGAGCGCCTAAGAGCTGCGTTCTAAAAATATTTTGAGCTGGAACCTTTTAAAATATACTCACCATAAATCCAAGTAACTACCACGCATTCCAAGAACCCAAGGAGGAACGCTGCCCAGGAAAAAACGTACGCATCCATCACAGCGAGGATATGAATGCCGGCCTGTAGAATAAAGCGAATATTTGCATTCAATAAACAACAATGTCTTTACTTTGTCACCGTCTTGACTTCCTTGAATTTGTGGCATTCAAACTTACGGGAGTCGTGAAGATGATCCCGGCGGCGAAGAGAATGCCACATATGCCCAGCACAAACAGGCAGTAACGCTTCCTCAGTTGTGCGCTGGACATCTTGTCGAGCAGACAGATGATCATGGTCAGGACCATCTGTTCCATCCGTCCCAGGCAGAGGAGCGCGAGGAGTGCGAAGAACAGGATGGAGCACACCACGGAGCCGGGAAGGTTGGCGAGTGCCGCTGGTACCACGGAGAAGAGGGTTCCGAAACCTGCAGCCAAAGACCCTCAAAATATTAGATTATCCGCTCGAAATCGGGGACTTAGTACAGAGATCCTGGGTTCAGTCTCTCTCTCCTGCCCTAACCTTTTCATCTGCATGAGCATCGTACCAGCGTGCGGTCGTTTATCACTACCGCGTTATCAGCGTTAAAAAAACCCGGACTACCTGTGGTCGCGCTGTCTAAACTACTCATCTATACAATGAATACACCACGCCCCCATTGAGCTCACTAACCATTCACTGTCTAACGCAATTAATACAATACATATCACCAATTAGGGTCTCACACTGTCCTTAGCATTTATATGAGAAACTATACTTTAACATTACCTTGGCACCATTTAACTTGCAAAGAATGTTTTCTGCCCTGATATTACACAACAGTTTTGAACCGAAGTTTAAATTTCAGAAAATGCACGCGCAATGAGCAAACACCAGCACGAAAATGCCAACAAATGAAACTTTCGCGAAATTCGAAACACAGTCGTGGAGGTTAGAAACGAAACTAACGTGGAAACAAAAATATGAAGCCTTTTCGATAACTCAACACAGACGGCGTAAAACAACAAAAAAGGCAGATAACAATAAATTATTACGCTCATAGAAAACCCAGACATCGGGCATGCCTATACTCTCAAGTACGGGCGGCGTTGCACGTGCGTCAAGAACGCGCCTGCAACATATTAGACTAGCGACAAAGGAAGTTTGGTTTATGGGGTTTTGTTTCTTTCTCCGGCAGGTGAAACTTTGCGATGCCGTCATTCGGGTTGTCACTGTATGTTCTGCCTTCGCAAAGACGCTTTGCCTCTTAAGCAAAGACAAAGCCAAAGGGGGAAAAAACAACGTTTAAGAAAAACTCGAGCCGTCTACCGCTGTCAGCGTGCTGGAGAGAACGTGTTCTTTTATTTGTGGGATTTATCCTGGCCGCGTTCTCAAAACGTGACGTAACAGAAAGGTTTGGAAACTTGCAGTACAATTCCACTCCTAAATGAATAAAACCTTGGCTGTACGAAACTCGCGATAAAACAAATCTCAAGGTTCCTCAGCATGGCTGATGGAAAGTACCTCTCCTGTGCTTTGAATATATTTATATACCTTTATGCAATAGTTACGCAGCTTATGTCAGGAGATGAAGTAGTGGTTCTTTTAATGCAAACCTTTAATTCAGCCCAGAGCGTTAAACATGTACAATGGAAACATTGACGAGCTGTACTAACCAAGATGGAACCGGGTGTCACAAACGGTGTCACAATATATATATATATATGTCTCGAAAAAGTTCTGGCTGAGGCCGAAACGTCGACCTATATGTAATAAAGCTCCGCGAAAAGCTTCGAGGTGCGTTTACTTTCATATATATATATATATATATAATGAAAAACTGAAAAAAACAATATATATATATATATATATATATATATATATATATTGTTTTTTCAGTTTGTATCAGGGCCCACTTACGTCAGTTCAGGTATTTAGTTCCTAAATAGAAAAACTACATACAGACAAAAATTTCAAAACGCGCAAAACACACACACAGAAACACGAAGGCAAGTTCCTTATAGTTATATTGCGTCATGCAATACAGAGACTATACAGTTCGCGCTTTATTTCTCAAATTTCCTTCGTTCCGCTATTTTCTTTTTAAATACTGGCTATAGTCAATAGGGGATTTGAAAAAGGCAGGGCCTAGCTCATTATGTTCAGGATTCTTGCTTTGTGATTGGTTCTTCGACGATCACATAATCCGAATGCTCTAATCTTATTGGCTGTGGAGCGATAATGAGATTCTCTGAACTCGCCGCACCCTGCGTCTCTTAAGTTCATAGTGACTATGAGTGTCGGAGAGAGTAGAAGACGTAACTACCAACTTATGTGGGCTTGTGTAATTCTAAAGATAGAGCATCAGAAATATTTCTAGAAAGGCAACCTATCAAATTAAATCGTGCAACTAAGTCAAAGATACTAAAGCGCTCATGTTGAACATCTTAGATAACTGATTACCCCAATACAGAAAGTTAGATAATCTTCTGATATGCAGATAAAACGACTCTGAAGCAGCGGCGACTTGCCTTCCTGTAGAAACTTGATGCAGGTTCTGTTGATGGCCTTGGAGACGTAGCCGAGGCAAGAGAACACCACAACGCCGCTGAAGAAAGACACGATGATGTTGACGAGAATCACAATGACGGCGTCGTGTACCAGGCCGCGGTATTTGCTGCCTCGGCGACCCAAAAGCTGCAGAAGGCTCGTTCCGGTACCAAGGCTAAGAGCCACTTGAGTTGCCGCGTCGTTCCACATCTGCCAGTAAAACAAGAAGCCAGTCATCGTAGAGTTAGATTTTACTTGCATCTCCATGCTTCACGGGTCAGCCTCAGGTGAGATACACCTGGTCACGTGAACAAGCTGCTGCGTTACCATATTCAAAAAACACCTTTAAAACTAGAGCGTCGATGAGCACGGCCTTCGTGGCTTTGACAAAGCTCAGGGAGATTACGCAGTCTAATCCGTGTAAACGAAGGTCTGACCAGTAGCAGATGGAGGCAATCGCTGAATATTAGAGGCGGCCATCTGTTACGAAAATTTTTCTCAGGAGAATCTTTGTTAGGAGAGTTTTTGTTACGAGAATATGTTAGGTGAATTGCCGTGTTTTTTGTATGGTCTTAGGAATGAATGTAGAAATGCTTCCCGGACAAATTGGAACTCACGTCGGGTTTTCGCAGGGAGTGCCAGTCAAACGAGAAGAAATAATGAAGGCCATTCTGGAATCCAGGATCGCTGGTGATGGTTCCGAAGATGGCGCACAGAAAAAGCGTCACCATTATAGCCGGGACGATGGCCGTCTGCAAAGAAAGTGGTGCTATGTAACCAATAGTGTGACGTGCAAATAAGGAAAGCGATCCACTAAAATAGCGACCCTCCTACCCTACGATAATATAATTCTGCAAATATTATTGCCGAAAACGTTGCGCAGGTTGAGGTAGAAATGCGATAGCATTTTGCACCGTCCTGTTCTACGTAAACTTTTCGGGAACGCGACAGAACAGCACACGACAAAACAGCACGCGACAAAACAGCACGGTCAAAACAGCACGCGTCAAAACAGCACAGCGTCAAAACAGCACGGCGACAAAACAGCAGGCGTCAAAATAGCACGCGACAAAACAGCACAGCGTCAAAATGGCAAAGCGACAGAAGAGCACGTGCCAAAACAGCACGGCGTCAAAACAGCACGGCGTCAAGACAGCACAGCGACAAAACAGCACGTATGTAGCAACTTCGAGCGCATTCTTCACCTCCCTCTGCGCGAATATTTTCGAAACTCCTTAACCCATTCGTTTATTGTCGCTAGGTTATAAAGGAATTTATTGCCTATTTCATTGCTAAGTCAGTGTCCCGACTGGTGCTGCTGTGTGATTGCTAAAAACGAACGAAGTTAGCAGTAGTTACTACTACTTAACTGCGCTGATCTTTGAAGAGATTGGGTAGTTAGAGGTGATATCTTCGCCTCGATGTCGGCCGCGTTGTCAGGTCTTTTTTTTTTTTTTTTTAGACCCAGCGAAAGAGAAAAAGTTATTGGGAAAAAGAAATGCATAAGTTCAAGTTATGAACCGTCTGGTTTTCGGCGGTCCGATAAGGGTACTCGTCGTTTCGTAATTACCATCTAAGTGTCAAACGTCCCCCCCAAAAAAACGGGAGATGCGTTGATTACAGATGCATTGATAGAACCGGGAAGATAAGGCAACTTAATGTCGAGCGAATTCATGATGTACCATGAGCACGGACTCTGTGGGGTTCATTCGTCGTGAACAAAATTTCCGGAAACACGCAGCTGCAGCTTGCAGGCGAGAAGTTGTTTTGAGTTAAATTCACAGATTATTGCCGACGAAGGCCTCGATCGAGTGGAAACCGGGGAAGCAGAAACATGCCATGGCCTTAATGTTGTTGCCGCACAGCATGGGCTAACGCTAAGCACACCGTTGCCGCACACACTTCTTTTTTTTTTCTTTTAACAACTAACAACAACATGTTGCCGTGCGATTGATTCACTTATTGTAGACGACATCACCAGCAAACTTGCGCGTCAACGTAAGCAGAACTGCTCGAGAAACAGCCATAATACGCACCAGCGGGGGCTTCGGTACTGCCCACGGAGCCTTCATGTGCGCATCGAGTATACTCCCCACTCCCAACTTGCTCCCGTGAGGACGAATTCGACATATTGGCCGTCGACGAGTTGACCTTAGAGGAATTGGTTTAGACCCTCCACTCCTTTACAGTGCCTACTTTGAGACGTGAATTTTTTTTTTTTTTTAACTCCATACGCTCTACTTAGGGTTCAGCGTTTTCGGCTTAAACTGATAAAACCGGTAAAAGTACGACGAAATGTCTTTTTACAAATTCGGTTTTAACTGAAAAAGGTCAGTATTTCCGAGGGCGTTTGGAGGGGTGGGTGGAGAAATGTGCCTCATTACCGAACGTATGACCACTTCATTTCGCAGTTTTCAGCTTGTGTCCAAGATCGGTTCAACTTTCAACAAAAGTTAAACCGACGCAATGGTCTTTAGGACGAAATCTGGGTTTTTCACCTGATAGGGATTTGTGTGCAGAATTCTTTCTTCAAAGAAGAGAGTTTAATCGTGGACTGTACAATGAAATTAAAGGGCATCTGTAAATGCCGCACATTTTTTAACACCCCTAGCTTCCGTTTACTGGAGGAGGGAATAAATACGCTTGCATTATTGTCGTTTCTTGGTCTGCGCGAATTAACCACCTCTCGCACTCGTGAAAATGGGGGAACAACGCACTGAGTACAATGCTTGGAAATTTTTGGATTTTGATATTTGCCTCTCCGACCGAAGTGTTAGTAAAGCTCGTGTTCGTCCTGCGTACATATACAAGCCCATGACGATGATGTCAGATCACGATAGAGCCCCATAGCGTCTTGCAGAACAGGTCGCGTCGGCTGCCACAGACATCAACAAATAAGAAATCCAGTACCTGGTTTATTTACTATTCATTTTAGACAAACGCCTTTAAATTTTGCATTTTCGTCAGTATACTGGTTTTCGTCAATAAACCGAAAAGAACTGAAAAGTTTATGCGTCTACAAATATTCTCAGCAATCAACCGAAAACTTCTGCTTGTAATAAAAACCGAAAAATGTACGCCCAGTTTCAAAATAATAAAAACCGAATACGCCAAACCCTAGCTGTATTGTCAATGTCCTATTTTGACGCTGTGCTGTTCTGACGCTGTGCTGTTTTACCGCCGTGCTGTTTTGGCACGTGCTCTTCTGTCGCTTTGCCGTTTTGACGCTGTGCTGTTTTGTCGCGTGCTATTTTGACGCGTGCTGTTTTGACGCGTGCTGTTTTGACCGTGCTGTTTTGTCGTGTGCTGTTCTGTCATGGTGCCAAACTTTTCTTTTATTAAAGTGCTCAGTAACTGCTGCGGAGTTTCTAGGAATACTTTTCGTCGATATCCATGAAGTTCGCCTCTTACATATAAAACCAATTCGGATAATGTTTTGAAATAACTGTCCACTTCCCGGGACCAATTGACGACTTTTGTTGTAGCATTGCTGCAATTCAAACGCATCTCCCTTACTATATTGATGTAAACATAATATGCACATAAACACATAACACCATTGGTGACTGCATTTGCCGTTAAGAAGCGATTACTTCACGTCACGTTCGTTGGGCGTATTAACCCCCTTGTATGCATATTTAAAATAGGTATGTAACAGATGCCTGCCACCTGCTCTGTCGGCTACAAGCCGAGGCAAGGACGCGAAAGTGCGTAGAATCCGCTCAGAAATGCTACCGCATTTAAACGCGGTTCACTCAATAGTTAATATTTTTACCTTTCTGAAGGATATCTTCCCGCGGATAACGTTGAGGTACGTAACTATCCATCCGCCGAGGAGGCAAAGTAGGAGTGACCAGGACACAGTTCCGGGAAAGCGTGCTTGAGGGTTGACCTTGGTGACAACTTCACTGGGGGAAAGGGTGACGACATTCAGTCACTCGCAACACGAATTGTGTTGCGTCGACCGTAATATCGACCAAAACCGCTTACTGAAAAAAGAGTTCACTCGGAGCACGAATCCAGAGGCTGTCCGTGGGCTTGCCATCGAGAGTCAGGTTTTCGGGAAGGCACGGCTCGAATAGAGGTTTTTGCGTGCTTGGACAACCTGGTCGAAAGAAACACAAGTGGCGTAAGGTTATAGAACAATATAGGCAGTTAAGGAATCAAATATATTTAACTAAGTGGCATGTGTCACATAGCTTCCCATCAGTAAATTGGTTTCGTGAGACCACCTCCCTTCTTTTGCGAAAAAAAATAGTCGCACAGTCGTTTTTATCTTTATTACACAACATCGCGTTTAGATAATTACTTTATACTCTCATTCTTATTTCTGCTCGCTAAACTATGCGGAGAGCAAGTCGTCTGCTTCTTGTGCAGAAGTTACGGTGACGTCAGAGCGACGCCGAGTTCTGATTGGTTCTGATTGCAAGGATAGTGGGTAGACCTCAATGCTAGATGCCTTTAGGTTTACCCACTATTTTTCTTTAATGAGTAAATAAGAGCTCGGTGTTCTGATGTCATCGCAGCTCCTGTGCAAGAAGCAGACAACTCGCGCTCCGCATTCATAAATCAGAGCGTCCCTTCTTCGTCAGTAATACATGCTCGAAAGCGTAATGTTTTTTGTCAAATCGTTTGGTCAATATTTACACCATCAGGCCTTAGTAATGAAGTCCTGAATCGAAGGCACATCTGTTAAGCCGACAATCACAAAAACATTACGAAACAATATAGCGAACGAATAATGCAGGATTTCAAATCATCTCAAGTAAATTAACATCCTGCTGGACCTGGATTTACCTGTATTTTGAAATTGCGGTTGGATTCTTTTAGGAAACATCGAACAAACATTACTTAACTTTTTTCATTCATTTGTCACTTACTCTGAACTCAGGTCAATGAATAGACCGATCTCACTAAGAGCTTCACGCATGCGTGACGCCGCAGTTACTTTAGTTCGAGATGACTCATGCTCGTGCTGACTCATGCTCTGTTCGCGCAGACTCACAGCGGGGTTGTAGCGCGTGCAGAAAGATAAAGTTCCCACGATGGGGGTTTACCGGCAGCGGCGGCGTAAAGAGGCTGGCTGGTGAAATCGGCCTATTTCACGTGGGCAAGAATTTCAGTCGCGTATGAAAAAGCAAAAACGAAAGCAATTTGGTGAATGATTTCCATAAGGGGATGGTCTCTGTGTGTAAAACCGCCTTTCCTCTTTAACCTTTTTGATTTTTGGGCCTCAGAATGTGGTATGGAAGCTTAAGAATGTATTAATTCTTCTTTTTAAAACTATTTTTACTAAGAGCTACAGTCACGCTAAATCAAACCAAACAGAACCGCGCCCATTACGAGTTGCCGGTTCGCTGAGCAGCATTAGCCTCAATGATCCCTCGGAAGGAAAGCGACGCAAAAGAAAGTGGTAAACGGTTTCAAATTTCGCAAAGTACGGTCGGCGATGCAAAACGAGGTCGCCCAAAACGTTTGGGAAACAGGTAAACAACGACAACATAAAATGAAAAAAAAAAAAAAGGATGCAGGTATATGACGCCAGCATTTCCGTTCTGATGATATTTAGGTCGTACAAATGTGGATCGGAGCACGTGAAGCGAAAGCTCGCGCTGCAGAACCAAGGGATCGTGAAACTGTCCTCGCCCCCCCCCCCCCCCCCCCCCCTCTCCAGGATCTGGATGAGCATCGTACCAGCCCACGGTCCTGATCATTTCAGCGTGGAACGCGTTGAAGTCGCCATGGTAGCAGATGTACTGCGCTGGCTTCTTTTCTTATTTACAGCTGAGACATCAGATGCGCATTGGGGTTCACTAACCTCCCGCTGAATAAACACACGCACGAGATAATTATTGTATTAAATGCTGATAAAACTCGCCCCCTTGCTTAGCCGTTTTGAAGCTAGAATGTTGCTTTAATATGAATTAAAGACACTAACACCTACTTGTACTCTGTTAGTGTTTATCGGAGTGTGGTCTATTCCTAATCAAATACGTAAAACAAATTGTTCCAAAAGCCGATTTTTATATCTCTAGGCAGCGTCAAACAAAAAAAAAAGAAAAAGAATGACCAAATACAGTTTACAGCTCAGGACGCAAACTTACGAAAGTATTCAGTGGGGCAAAGTCCCAATGGGCTCCTTCAAGGTTCAAGAAAAGCGACGCTCTTTAATTTTATGTATAATACACGAAGAACCTAGAAATCTAAAAACAACCCCTTAGAAAAAAAAAGAAAGCTTTTGCCATTTGTGTTGGATGATACCTGAATGCTTTTCTTTGACAGGTTGTTCAGAGGTTAAAGAGGAAGGAAGTCAATCAGTCGCAAACCACATCAAGTTCTGTCTCGCCTGAAAAAAAAAAAAAAAAATATAGATAACATTGGTACGTACTTCCCATAGTGAGCTATCGGAGCTATTCATGCACTAAATATCGACTGCGTTCATGTCCGCCGCTACCATGCCGCTACTTATCGAAACCGGTAAGAAGAGGAGTCTATGTCTCTTCCTATTCCTGAATCTGCAGCGCACGTCTGTCGCTTCACGTGTTCTTAATCTGAGGTACATCGACACGCGTGGTCACCAACCCCGCCCCCTCCCCCCATTTTCCCTTCTCTGCCGCAACGTCCAATTGCATTAAGGTGTTGTCATACACTGTAACCACCATGAAATCAAGCGCACAAAGACGACGAGCACAGTGCGGTGACGACGCACTTTTTTACGCCGGTTGACTGGCTCCGCCGGATAGCAGCATCGTCTGCGCTCGGACTCCGTGTGTAACGCTGTACACGCAAACAGAGTGTTTACAAAACAAGCGGCCGCTTTGCCCGCACCAGGTGTCGGCACTGCGCGTGCACTGCGCGTGCGCGTGCGCAGTGCCGACAGCAGCACCACCGCACAGTGGCACTACGTGAGGGAGTTGAGCTGGTCTATTGCGGAGGGCGCATTCCGAGCGTTTACAGCGTAGCTCCCTGCAACGGGAGACTGCGGTAGTCGCCAGGCGTGGGTTTACGGAACAGTGACTCGGCAATAATGGATGCTGCAAAAGTGTATCCGGGAGGAAACTGAGGGGAAGGGGGAGACCAGTGCGCACGGGACGCCAGATAGAGCCGAGCTCTCTGGTGTTGAACCCTCGATAAAATTGCAAATATCCAATTTTTCCTGTTTTTTTTTTAGTGCGTCATTTCTGGGGGATTTTTTTTTTTTTTTTTTTCTGTCGGGACGGGCGCGTCGGCGTCTTATGTGCTTTAATGGGATCGTGACACGCGACAACGGTTTGCCCCTCTCCCGGCGATAAGTCGAGCTCTAATGGACGCGATAAAGAAGAGACCCCCCACTCCTTCGGACAATCAAACCGCGGACGAGCCCTCCGGAGATACACGTGAGTGCTTATCAAAGTATGCGACACCTTGAAATCCCTAACTGATTTGTATGACATCCCCGCGCACATATAGATGATTCTTTACAGTATAGCTCATGTAAGCTAAAAGCAACTAAAATAAAATTAAGCAAAAAGACAGTGCTCATTACGAAGAAAGCAAAACACTGTCTCTGTCCTGTGTTTTGCTTTCTGCGTATTAAAATTAAAATATATCACTTCTTTTTTTTTTCTTTTTTTCGGAGGACGGGAGGAAGGGAAGAAGAAGGGAACTGCGAAACTGGAGTTAAATTCAGACCCAGAACGACGTTTTATTTTATTTCATTTATTTTTCTCTCGGTTTCCGCAGGCACTACAGAGTGTCGTGGAACTTCATAAAATGTATACAAAAGGAAAACAACGCATTAAGGTAGACAAATGGGCTAGTTGGTACATCGCTTGTAGGAGCAAAGCTCCGAATAAACAAGGACCAAGAAGTACACAAGGACGAAGCGCACTCACAGCCGAAGTTAATCGAAAAGGATATGCTTTATGGAGTACGTTTCCGCTTAATTAAGTCCAGATGCAACGAGCCAATGGAACCAATCAGGCAGAGTCAAAAGCGCACCATCATGGTGTTCGTCATATTTATGTACGTGTTCTATCATCGCAGGACCAATCATGAACCGAAAAGGCCCAGTGACTTGCGCTGTTGGCGCTACTTGATTGGTAGCTTGTAGCGTCGGCTGAAGTATACTGCCGCAGTACCGCATACTTGAGCGCTCGCTTAGAAAGAAACACTCCTCTCAGGTGCAGCGATGGCGCGCTGATAAACGGGCTTCCCCCTTCCTATCTGATGCAAACTTCGTCGTGAATTTCCCCGGCTATCTTTTCTGCCTAACTCCCGAGAATTGCTTTTTTTTTTTTTTTTCAATTTCTAGTTGGATGGGGCAGCTATCGCAGTGCAGTGCCAGATTGCCCGACGAGGACTGTTTTCTTCCACCACCCGAATGTCCTCTTGCCCTCTTCTCGTTTATACATGTTTCCGTTTGGCCCACGTACGATTTTGACGCGATTTAAACAGGGTAAGTTCTATACTCCCCATGCATTTGAGGCCATGTTGAGGAACATTTTTCTCGGTGACTATTAGCAGTATTCCTGTCATGTATATATCATTTTGTTCGAAATATTGTGCTTTATCTACTGAACTAGAATTATTTGAACCAATCTAAAATAATTTTTTTATTAATTCTAGTACTTAAATTTTAGTTTTTTTCATGCATTAAAAAATTTCTAACTCAAAACGTGCTAGGTGCATATTTTTAATTTTAGTTCAGTATTTTTCAACACCTATGTAGGTGGTAGGAATAAAAAATCAACCCTCTATAGTGTCAGGTTGAGGAAAAAATGGTACCTATGTACTAAAAAACACTGTTTTGAGATAATTGAGTTTAAAGTTAAAAAAAACTGGTGAATAACGAATTTCTATTGGCACTAACAGCCTCGGAGTCATTTTTGCAATAGCCGCAACCTTGAAAGACATTGCTAAACTCATGTCTTCGCCTTTAGGCTTATCGCCTTGCTTGCCGGACCTCTTTTGCGACCTGCTGTGTGGATTGGTCGGTAAAGTATATTCGAGTGATGTCAACTTCCCTCAGCCACTCGATGGCTTTCCAAACAGGGTTCCATCCACAGGACTTCAAAACATTGTCTTGTGCAATGCTACCACCATTGAATAAAAGAACAGCATCCAATGCTGCCTATTTTGTCGTTATAAAAACACAAACGCTTGAATGTACACATGGTACACATCTGGAAAAAACATGTACAGCGTCTCGGGATTGTCTTGGTTGAAGAAAAGTTATGCAATAGTTGCCAGATACTTTTTTTTTAGATTATCTGTCACCGGACAAGCTTTTAGGTCTGGTGTTGAATTTGTTTTGTTGGAAAATTCATCGATAAACAGGGAGCGTATCCCAAAAGGAGGCGTGGCCACCTGCTGCTTGCTTTCGGAAGAAGTGATTTTCAGCCCGAAATATAACTTTCTAAAGACACTGTGACAATGAAAAATGTGCAGAAAGAACTAAACTTTTGAAATTGCGAAAAAAACTAAAATCAATTTTTTTTTTTTTTTTTCAATCTTATTTTACCCTGTGCCCTTAAGGAGGTCGCGTCGCAGAAAAAGCCGGCCTCTGTGGCGTGGCAAAAAAGCCATCCTCGGTGGCGTGAAGTGAATCCTGATTGGTCGATAGGGTAATGACGTCAACGTCACGTGACCTCACGCGGGAATTTCAAACAACCCACGAAGCTCACATGAAACGTGACGTCCCGCGTGGAGCGAAAGTGATTAAAAAACATGGCGTGTAATGCAAATTCAAGGTCTCGGCATTTCTTAAATGATTTCACTTCATAAAGTAATTAATTTGCCTTAAAAAAACATTTCAAATAATTTTAGGCGAGATTCCAACCCACCACCCTTCTGTGCGTTGCGGACCAGACACGTACTGACTGGGCCACGCAAGGCACGCTTGCATTGCTTACATGCTTTGTGTGCTTCTTGTGGCACACATTGCCCGCTTCGATTTCCTTACATATTTTTTACCATTAATGCGAATGATCATTTCGAGGCAGAAGATACCACCGGCATGTCAACATGCCCCCGCCACCACTTTTTTTTTTTTTTTACACTGTGAGACAGACAGTGGACTGTAAGGGATCACTGCGGGTCTAGTTTTGTGTCACAAACATACGGCGTCTATGTGAACCAGCTTGTTGCATCCTGGACACACTGTGATTTCAGGAATGAGTAGTACATATTTAACGTGGAAAAATAAAAACAACAACAATGATTGACCTTTGTCACAAACACCCCATGACGCTGAAAAAAATGGTGTGCACATTTGTTTTCCAGAACTATTGGTAAATGCACAAAGATCTGCCATGCTGCATGAGTGCGGTATTCCTTCGAAGACTGAAATTTTGTATTTCAGTATCAAGACAGGTAAAATATATTTTCTGATCAAGTGATTTGGACACGCTATCCGTGCACCTATTTCGTCTTGCGACTCTCAATGTCAACGGCCTTTAGTTAGCTATACATTGCAGGAAACCATAGTACAGTTTAGGCAGCGCACTGCTTAAAAATCAGTACATTTCAGATTCTAAAACTAAGCAATTCGACTTATTTTGATAACCGCGAGTCTATCATAAATGTTAATGTTAAAAAAAAAGCACGGCCGACTTTGAATTCTATGCAACAATAGAGTAAGAAGATCAAATAAGCGCTACTGTCCAAAAATAAATAAGTTTCTCAGCCGTATTTGAACGTCATCATCATGAAGTCATTAGAAACACGACACCACGACAGATGCGTAATGCGTAAAAGCGTTGAAAAAAAAAGAATAAAAAGAAAGAAGTTATTAGTGCCTTTCTCCAGATGTCTTCATGGGTCCATCAAAACCTGCCCGCGTGGAAACATTACACTCTGGGAAATGAGGAAGTGCGGACGACCAGTGACGTTCTTTCTCTCTCTAGACTCTGATGTCGAACGTGGTTGGCAGCATATCAAAAACACAAAATATGTTTCCAAAGAATGCAAAAGTCGCCATCACGGCCATCATTAGGCTTAATGTTTAGTCGGTTGCTTGCCACCAGGACACGCGGTAAGGAAACTGGGAGTTACAGAGGCGGCGTTTACAGACTATAGGGGGCGATGCGAGAGTGTCTCGATCGGTGCGTTGTTTGAAAAGACGGACACCTCTAAGAAGTGTGAATCTCAACGAAGTAACCGGGAAGTCTAAAGCCGGGGTGGGGTCGCACTGCTTATACATCGTACAAAAGACAGTCTGCAAAACAGATTCGAACGCCGCACCTTAAGTTTCGAGCCAAGATTTAAAAAAAAATGTTTTTCTCGACACCGAGACTCTTGGGCTTGATTGTACCAGTACTGCCCGACTCTACAAATTTGTAAGCGCGATATACTCGCCCGATAAGAATCGAATACCTATAAAACTGATATCGGATAAAATACACTCCAATTTAATAAGCGATCGCGAACGAGAACTGCCTTTTATCCGCAGGGTGAGGAGACTGACCTTTGACGACCGTCTCGTTGCCACAGTGAGTCCAGGGAAGCGTCTCTTGCATCGAAGAGAACAGGTAGAGTAGCACCCAGGAAAGAATGGCCATGTAGTAGACCGACATCAGGGCTAGCAACGTCGAGTACGCATAGCCAACACCTGCAAAGCGAATCAAAGAAACAACAACAAAACAAAATTGGGACTTGTAGTATGCCCTTAAGCAACGGGACCACATCGATCTCGTGGTCTCTTCAATTTTGCTTTCTTTTTGTGTGTGTGTGTTTGTGTGTGAACACTTCCTCCCAAAGGAGGACACGGGTTGTTGTATACCGCACTTCACCAAGCACAAGTCGCTTTTCTTCTGTTTTCAAAAATTTCGCTGATGCGTCTCATGCAAAGACGTTGTTTTCCCCCAATAAGTATAAACCCTCCGAAGCGCCCGCCGATGGCCGGCTCTTCCGGCGCTCTGGGGACGGTTTGATGCGTGGCAGCTTAGGTCTACGGTTGCAGTGACTCCGCAAACCGCACAAAGAATTCGGACAAATAGAAAGATGCACGACCTATATACCAACTTTTTCATGAAATGACTGTTTATAAACAGGCGCGCCTTACGCATCGGTCTGGCTTACAGACCGACAAATACGGTATGTCTCGGATTTTGCATCTCCTTTTATGGCTTTCGTCAAACTGCATCTTAGGAAGGAAAATGAGACGACCCCTATTTCCTGCTCTCTCTCTCTGCTTAGAGCATCTAGTTGTAGTAGACGGAGATGCCAACATAAACGGCGAGTTCTAATTGTCTACTCTTTGCTAAGGTTAAAGGGAGGGGGAGAAGAGGATCTAGTGATAAGAAAGAAATACAAGGTAAAACTACTTCAGTTAGCATCGGTATGACTAGGAAATGATGTCGATAGTAAGGTAAGTATTCTCCCAAAATTATGGGGTGCATGTCAGTTTCGTACTCCTAATGGCCGCACTAACATCATTAGCAGATAAAACAACAACAGCAAGGAGAGTGGGGTGGCTTTTCAGTGGAATGGAAGGTTGTTGGTAGATGCAGAGCTTAGTAAGATTTTCGGTCCCAGACCGTAGATGATTTCTTAATTAGTTTCATTGATGGGGTAAATTAAAACCTTGAATAAAAAAAAATCCTGCACAGTCTACAACGTGAATCTATCCCAGGACATGAGTGAAATGCAATACGAAATGAAAAAATACACGCACACAAACACAAAACGAGTAAGAAAGCATATGATGAAATCATTTGTTTAGATTACATGATGTCAACGGTGCTCGAGAACAAAAAAAAACTTAGGCAGTGTCATAATGTGGGACGTGTATATTAACGACGTCAATAAATCAGAGTTGGCATACTAGTTATTTTGAATCTGTTCCTCACAACAGCACGAACGGTGCATTATTAGTCTAAAACCTATCGGGAGCGGTGATAAGGCAGCACTTATTTCCTATTCTACAGTTATCGAAACGCGACTCAAAATAGCCAACGAGAGGCAAGGGATAAATATTCAACACAATGTCTGCGCTATGACGGCTAACGCGCCACGAAGAAATATGCAAACACAAAGAAGAAAAAAAGAAAGGAAACCTACTCAAGCTCTTGTACATGCGTCGATTTGTCTAGTGCATATTCCGCAAACTCAAATCGCTCTTCAGGTGACCGGTTCTTCACCTGGCCAGGATGCTTCTACTTCATGTCATTCACCTAAACTTCCCTAATCTTCTACTAGTCATACAAACGCATCTGTCTTGATTATCACATTATCACGACATTGGGCGCTATCCTTCCACGCGTGTCAGCCAGCGCTTCAGCGTAACGAAGTCACGTGCTCCCCTCGCCCTCACCCAGATGTCGCTCCCGTCTTACGCCGCCATTCAAGGCGCCTATTATTAGGCCTTTCCTGGATCTCCTTATCTCTTCCGCTATTTAACTCTAATGTACACCTTATCACTGCTCACAAGCTATACTCTTCAGTGCAGAAGTCACGCTCTGATTAAGGCAGACAAAGCAAAAAAACAAAAAAACGGCAAAAAATAAAAAGGGTAAGGCCTCCAACCTTCTCCCTTTCTTATCCCTCCTTTTCACCGAAGCAGCCCACTCGAAAGGCACTTTGCGGCGATTGGGAAGCAGACCGTTTGCATTAGGTAAAAAACGCATTGTTCGGCAAAATGTCTTTTTTTTTTTGTTTGTTTGTTTTTTTGTGGGGTGGCGAAGCGCAGAACGGGATTGCGATAACCTTCAGGTCTTCGGCAAAAAGGCATGTGCGTGCACACGGGACGCAGCCGCCGCGGCTGGCCGTGGCGGCGCCGCAATGTAGCAACACCTCATGGACAACAAGGCCGAACTTTCTGATTTGATTACGTCACCGAGCTGAGGTCGACGGGGCGGCACGGATTAGACAAAAAAGTGCCGCGTCAGCGTTCGATTGGGACTCGCGTTCAATCAGTGAAGGTTACCGGTCTCAGCCGAACACCGACGCACCACTAGTGCCCAATCAGCAACGCTGCTCTTACTTCCGGTAGGCGGTGTAGATAACCAATCACTATACTCAGTTTTAACGCCACGACCCGGCGGAGCCAATCAAGCAGACTCAAAAGTGCATTCACTGTGAGTGATTGGGTTCATTAAATCGTGCCGTTGCCTGCTCTCGGACGTAGTGTGAAGCAGAGCAAACGACGTTGTTCTCAAGAAAAGTGGGACGGGGCTTATCATGACAAAGCTCCTTTGCTTCGTGATTGGTCCTTTGGCGTTCTTAACTGCGAATGGAGCAGTCTGATTGGCTGCGGAGAACGGGATGACGGTGGACTCACCTTTGAAAATCGGCACCAGGTGCCCGAGGCATTGCCCTCCTCCTTTCTTCCCCGCGTGCAGGCGTCCGATCGTCTGCTCGAGGTAGTAGAGTGGGAAGCCGACCAGGACAAAGAGTACGATGCAGGGTACGAGAACCACACCTGCAACGGTGGTAAACAAGATAACAAACCCCTTGGTCACTCCAGTTTACTGGCGGGTCTGGAGCGAATCACTATGAAGCGATCCCGGAGCGCGTTTTAACAAATAAAAAACAAGCACATTCCTGCTTTTTTTTGTTTTTTTGTTTTACTGGGTTTATTGGTAATTTTTGAAAATTAAACACGGAAGTAAACTTGAAGTATGCAAAACACGGGAAGGTCCAAAGACAGAAACAAACTATACCCACCGGGCAATGAAGTTTCGTTTGGCAGATTGCGCCATCTTATGAGGAGTTTTAACAACTCTAAGACGGCCCGCACCCGCGATTATTGGATCCCATCTCAAGCTCAAATCTCCGAGTGCCCTTCCGAACTCTGACGCAGCGATTGTGTACAATCAATCGGTGGCTAGGCCCTCCCAGAGCTGCCCATTTTGACTAGCAGCCGACCGAAGCGTTTCATGTTCACTGCTGTGGGTCTATACGTTGCAGCGTTCAACATGAAAAGGAGCCGTTGTAAAATAACGAAGCTCCAACAATCTAGCCATTTGGGACAACAAAAATCGGTAGATTGGAATAATGCCATTATTTGCCTTAGCTTCTTCAGTGCTTTTCAAGGCTTCATGATCGACCAACTGATCCAAATAACCACATTAATAAAAGCACGTGCTTAGAGGACGAGAACGTTCACTAGCATATGATTTATCCTTTGCTTTATCCAGGCTAAAGCACCTTACAGGAAAAATGTGTTTTCTGACTGTAAGATCCCTTTTTTTTTTTCTTTTACAGCGCAGACGTTATGTGCCAGGATCTGGAAAAAATGCGTCAATGGATGTTAACAAAAAGCTTCCGTTTAAACGGCGCTACTTCGTTCCGATTGGCCGTAGCAAATATAATAAAATGGGGGGGTAATACGCGTGAGTCAGCCTTCCTTGGCATTGTTAGATAGTGACGTCCTGATCCCTCGTTATCATCTACGGTCACCGACTTATCTCAGCTAAGAGTGCGCTGTGACGAGGCTAAGGGCAGAACGCGCCGATCTAACTTTCTTTTCTTTCGCTTCCGCGATGCTGATAAAAAGACTTAGACGCAATCGGAAAAAAAACTGACCTCGAAGCCTCGAAAAATTGGGTTGAGAACCTGCCCATTGGTGACCATAAGGCGATGATCACTTTAGTCACTAAGAAATAAATAAAGACAATTAAAACATAAAGTAGTGCACGTGTCTTCATTGCAATCATATGCAAATCGTAGAGATGTCGTATAGTTGTCGTAAAGTTGTCGTAAAATTGCCCTAAAGATAACAGCTTGGCTAGTCCTTCATCTTCACGTAAAATGGATGGGCTCTACATTGTTTTTTTGTTTTTACGAGGCGGGGTTATTAAAATTTGAGGTTGTTTAAAAACTTAACAGAGAATGAAAAAAAAGCGTCAAATTTTGTTATATCCTCAGCCAGGGAACTGCTCTTAATGAGAAAACAAGCCAATGTGCTATGCCTCTCAATACACAAGAGATGGTGACCTGCATCAGATGTATGGCTCCCTTTGAGCAGGTGGTTGCGGCGTTCTTCGATTAATAGAGTGCTTGTGTAGATCGTTCCGATACGTCCGATAACGATACGATGCATGCGGAAAGGCGTTGACGGAGTATCGAGTATCGTTATTGGAGTACTTGGAAAGATCTATTAAAAGCTCCCTAATATCTAAAAATAAACATTACCTTCTTGCAAATTCTTTAAATTGCTCTCCACACCAATACTACGTGCCGCCAATACTGCAATCGTAACATAACCCCTAAAACCAAAAATTAAAAAAAAAAGTTAATTATTCAGTGTATTATGACGATTATCTCCGTCTAACTAACCCCGAGACTGGTAAATATACGGTGGAAATAGGACTCGTTTAAATATCACCACCTTAACAATATATATATATATATATATATATTCGAATTATGATCAAGTTACTCACGGAGCAATGTTGCTAAGTGAGCAACGGATTTCTGGAGCACGTTTGTCTGCGACTATTTGTTCCAATGATATTGTTTGATGGCACCGTATACCTCCATGCTTGTAGGCGATGTACGGATACCTCCAGATGTTCACGATGTCGGCGCTGGGTGCCAGGCAGGTGAGCAGGAAAGTGAGTCGGCGGGAGCAGAGCCTGGCTTTCCCTTCATCCCGGTCGTCGTTGTCCTCTTCCCCGGAGTCCAGGGAGATGGTGTCCAGGGGAGTGTCCAGGGGACACTCGCGCTCCTGCATCTGCGCATGGGCAATAGAGAACGCCGCAGGTTGAAGGTACAAAGAGTTGGCTAGAACATTTCTCTGGGTGCAATGGAGAGGTTTAAGTCGGAGTCGCACTGCTTGGTGCAATACGCACGATACACTGAATACGTCAAATGAACCTGTTGCAGATTAAGAAAAACGCGTAGAGGGTCCTTTTACGAGGCCCTCCACTTCTTTCCAATTTAGCGGAGCAGTATGAACACTTGTCGTAGAGTCGTGTCGAGCCTACTCCCAGTAGCACACTTTGTATGAACTATTCATATAAATCAAGTCAAATTAAATTTATTCGACACCACATCTTACAATGATGACGTCGGGAGCACAGACAAAAATCCACTAGGGTGCTGCTTGACTGGGTCTGTTCCCCCACAGATAAGCAACAGCGGTGGTATACAACTATAAACAAAAAAGAAAAATCGCAATCTCTACTATCTACACCGCTGCTAGCATACATTTAACCGATAATACACGCAGATAACACATAATCGTATAAAGCGAAGGGAGTAACATATGAAATTATGTTTGGTGTTTAATCAGTATGCGAAATGAGAACGGATGGCAATGTCTAAAGGACCGATCGAGCTTCGCATTTTGTGTGTACAAAAGGTATATTCCGTATCTTATCCTGAGGTGTGCTGTAGCTGTTTGTGTTTCTTGTTATTTTCGATAGTTGTTCAATAAACTTGTTATTTTTTTCAGCATAGTATCACTTCACCAGTAAGTCATTATACAAGAACTGCATAGTACAGACATTAACACTCTTAAAAAGTGGTTCTGTATGAGCATCGTAGGCTGAAAAATCTTCATCTATTAAGGGAAGATGCGTGACAACACCATAATAATCCCGAGTAAATTAGATACTCGTAATATGATACATATGTCATATCGACTAGCTTGTTAGCTTGAAACTCTCCCTTTACATTAAGTAAAAAAAAAAAAGAAACATTTTCTTATTTTAGTTTTTAAAGATCCCCTTTCAAAAATAATCATAATTTTTGGAAGCGTCCTACGCAAACGGGCACTGCTCAAGCAAAGGTCCTACTTTTCGTTCTAGAGAAGCCAAGTGAGCATTTTCTTCCTAGAGAAGCCCGCGTGCATCATTTGTGATGTTTGAAGGAACCTGCGGTTTTAGTCGAGGTAAGGCGATAGTTTACCCGGGCATTTTCTCCAGCGCAAAATAAACATGAAATAAACACCCCTCAGACAATCAAATTCGCAGCTTAGTTATTTCAGTATCGTGCAAACAATTTAAGCCCCCCCCCCCCCCTCGCAACTGCCATGTGTGGAAGTGATAACATTTGCCTATGTGTGGAAGCTGTGTGTAAGCCGCAACATCCGACGTCATAAAGGCGCTAAGCTTCAAAGATTATAGGATGACTTTTTTTTTTTTTGCAGCACAGTGTCAGTTATTAGTTCCGCCCAGACAGCTTCAGTCGCAGACAGTTTAAGTCACAGACAGTTTAAGAAGCGCACAGCGTTCTGAATCTAGAGCATCTTATTATCGGTCTGCGGCCAGTGACATTTCGCCATTAGCCAAAGAGAAGGCTGAAGTACAAATTACAAAGCAAGAAAAGTCAACACAATAGGCTCCTCCCTGCACTTAAGATGTAAGTGACTTTAGTAACACTCGTCTGTTACTAGCGCAGCTTTAGTAACAGCCGAGTCTCTGCTGTTACACGTGTGGGCCACAGAAAAGAGTGTATGTGGCCCAAGAAACTTACGTTTTCTGTTATTTTAACAGCAGTTTTGAGCAAAAACAATCGGAAATATATCCATTTTAGATAGATCCTTCGCATCGAAACTGATAAGTCCTACGAGTTCATTATACGCACGTAAAAACCGCGTTCAAAAATTAATAGGTGACAGCAGCGTTTTCCTAGTACTCGGTATACAACACTGTGACGGTGCAAAATAAAATTTAAAAAAAAAATTATATTTGGCGAACTCCAAGAATAAACAAAAAACAAAAAAAAAAACACAATCTTTTTCAAGCTACTTCAGCCTGAGAAAGTGGACGTTAACACCTTAGAAGGTCGAAGATACGAGAAGGTTATTTACACCTAAAGTCTTTCTTGAGGCGCCAATAGAACCAAGGTCAGAGACATCGGAGCTTATCGTAATCTAACGGAAGTTTGTAGATCCAAACGAAGTATTTGCATTATCTCCACTTCATGGTAAGGCTCATTCTTTATCGCGTTCTGGAGTACTGCTATATATAACGGACAGAAAGAGACACCCATCCCTCCGCTTTATATCAGCTAGGCCCAACTTGAGCACTTTCGCCTCTCCAGACGGAGTTCAGATATATTACATTCCCGTAAAACAAACAAAACCAAAAAAAAAAAGAAAAAAAAAATCCGCCAACGATTTTAGTTATCAGAGAGTGAACCAAAGTGCACGTGTATGCAGTTCACTGTTTGCCACGTTTACGCTATTTCACTAGTTGAGTAGAGATTGTCGTACGGCGCACAAAAACTTACCCGTCGTCTTTTGAAAATGCATTCATTCCAAACATCTATGTCTGCCTCGGACGCATCACAGACTCGTGCGTTTCGTGCCTGCGTCTGCTGCTCTCCGCGTACCAAAATGTCTCCGCGTTGGCAACAAATACGCCACGAGAGAGCCACTCCGAATGCGGGTTGTCCCCTACCCGGACTGCTTAGCAACTTAAGAAACAGCTTAGCAATTTAAGAAACGTGTACTTATCACGCTGGAGCCAATAAAATTCGTGCCTTAACCGACAAGAACGACGAAAAATGAAAAAAAGGCGCGATCGTAATAAGCCATGCACTGCATTTCTAAAAAAAAACTGTCTGTTACTATAGACCAACTCAAGTCTCTGACGTCACGCCAATGCGCATGCGCACAGGCTTCACTTCTTCCGAATTTGGTTTGTGCGCACGCACCAACGAAAAGCCTACTTTCTCCGATTCACCATAAGCCAGAGAGCAGTCACTTCCGAGACATAAACGGACACGCATAAACAAGAACAGCGCGAAGCCGCAGCATGCGTCGCAAAAACAAGGTGTAAAAAAATAGTATTTTTTTCTCTTTGCAAAAACTAAAGACGCATTGCCGAATGCTCATTCTCCAGCCAAATACAGCACTAGAGGACCAAACTAGATGCCAAAGTTTCAGCACAAAGCGATCAGAACCGATCAGAAAATCGCTCATAACATTTGAATAATATAATAACGGTTAGCGCTGCAACTTTGGCATCTGGTACGGACCCTTAGCGCTACCTTTGTGTCGAAAATGAGCGTTCGGCAATGCGTAGTTTATTTTTGCGGTGAAAAAACAAACAAACGTGGACTTTTTTTATATATATATATTTAACACACTGCACCCTTATGCTAAAGGCAGTTTACAAAAAACTGTTTCAGGCAGGTACCTTCCTTGTATGACGGTCTTGTAACAATGGTCATACAAAAACTGTCTGCAGACCCTCTTCGAGGCACGGATATATGTACGAAGAAAACAGGTCTCGAAGATGCTTGAGGTGTTTGCGCAGATAATTCTATCATCATGTCTGTGGGGAACACAGTGTGTTTTGTAAGACGGTACATCGGTGCGAAGGCCGCTTAAGAGCATACGGTGCGCCCTCGACAACTGATGAGAATTGTGCATACGATCATAAACGCAGAGAAACAAGACCTAACGCCATGACGTTGAGCTTGTGGCTCTGCTTAGATTGATCCCATGGGCTCGCCATGCCGAGTGTTGTATTTCCTTACGGTTCTGCGAGACTACAACCGACAAAAACACGGTAAACAACATCTCTACGCAATTGTGATGATACCAGCGGGATATAAAGGAGATAAAATAAATACACACAGGGAAATCATTGATACCTCGGCATCGAATGTGACCTCTTCACGTTGCAGAACCTGAACACCTGTTTCGTACGAGAGGCATATGAATGAGTTATCATACAGATCCAGTTTTTAACAACCCGACGAGTGCATAGCTTATAAAATCAGCCGATAAGTTGGACGAGACGCTTCAAGGATGGAGTAGTTAACTTCTTACCTGACTCAACGTGTAGTAAACAGACTGGGCACCGCACGAGCTACAATTACAACCACGACGCCCTTCGAAGCCACGAGTGCGTCACCGAGACCGTTCACAACACTGTACGCGGCTCGTGAAACGACAAAATGTAATGACACTCTAAAACAAAGCAAAAACAAGCGAGATAATTAAAAGCCCTTTTCGTACGCGTTCCTTTGTCTCAATATTTCGTAACCGTGAAACGAGTCGGAGAAATAATGATTACCTGAATGTCCATCTCTGGGCAATGGACGTCGAACGAGCTATGCTTCGGTGGCAGACAAAGAAGCTCGGTGACCGCTCAGAAACGAACGGAGGGACGTGGACACGAACCTCATGTTGATCGCAGGGACGCGCAAATGCAGGCCAGCGGAGTGCCGGGGTTTGCACGCATTCCGTCACGTGCAGCGAACGAGAAACGTGTCGGTAGAAGAATCGCTCGCCTCGGCACGTCTCACAAGCCACGATGTTCGACATTACCGAGAAACAAGCAAAAGGAGATTTCTGCGAAGAAGTGTAGTCCACACTGGCTATCGGCGACGCGGTATCTAGTCCCATCCGCAAAATGTCAATCAATTTTTTTTTTAAATGGGTTTCGTGTATGTTTATACAGCCTAGAACTTGTTCTCCCTGAACGGGCGACGAGTCTTCCAGCTGTAGATGAGAGATTTAGCCAGTGCAGTTCAACCGCTAGCCTGGGGTCATTAACGTGCACCACGCAGTAGTGATACACGACCGCACGGCGGTATACGATGCTCATCCAGATCGAAACGGGCAGGGGTGGGGATTGAACCCAGAATCCCTGGGCTCTGCAGCGCGAGCTTTCGCTCCACGTGCTCAATCAAATTTAAAATAAAGAGTGTCACGTAGACGCATTTTAGTTTAGCAAAGCAGGTGACTCAACGTTTAAAATTATAAGTACACAT